CAATGATGGTGCCAACTTGGGCCAGTGAAGCAACGTCCTCCACAACTAAACTGAAGAACAAAACGACAGCAACTTGTCTGTTCCCCTTCCCCTAATCCCCCCGAGCTGTTCCCATCCCAATTCCCCAATAAAAACCTTTAAAAAAAAAAGCCTCTAAAAAAAACTTTATACTGTGTCCTTATCAACCTTATTCACCAGATCTGGCAGCGTGCAACTTCTGGCTCTTCCCCAAAGTCAAAATGACCATGAGAAGTAAACATTTTGAATCAAGGCAACCATGACAGAACTAAAGACACTCACGAAAGAGGACTTCCAGAACCGCTTCAAAGTGGCAAGAACAATGGGAGAAGTGTATGCAAGGGGAGTATTGTGAGGCAGATTAATGGCAATGTATACTTTCACTGTAAAATTTTTAAAAATTTAAACATTCACCATATATTTTTATCATATACCTGCCCCTCCTCCTTCTCTTCTGTACACAGTCTTGGAAGTCATCCTTAAAGTTACAAAACAGCCTCTGATGGTTCCTCTCCCTCACACAAAGTGAAAGCAAAGTCCTTGTGGCCTATAGGATCTGCCCTAACTGGAAGCAACAGTGGCAGAGGGCCTCAAGAAACTAATCACACAGAAAAACACTAGGGCCCCATCCCCACCTAGAGTGAGGACCAAGAGCCAGTGGAATGATGGACAGCTCGGAAGGTGCCTCTGACCCAGACAACTCAAGGGTTAGAGGAAAATGTTTATCTCCATAATACGTACACACTTAATGTTTGTTTCAAATTTCTCCCTGGGATCAATAAACTAATACTTCCACATACATAATTAATAACGAAAAAGGATTAATTCAACTATGCATAATGCTGGGCCCTCCAACATAATTACACATTTTTACTGGCCTTAGTAGAAAGACTACAGACTAGATCAATAAAACATGTATTTAATCCCATCAAGGAATAGAACCTTCTACTAAATATTAGGTTGTTGGACAAGTCATGTCGCATTTTTGCAACGAAAAACAGAAAAAATATGTCATGACTTTTCCGACAATCCAATAATATAATTAACAGGTGTCTTGGAAGTTAAGCTCCCCGAGGTCAGCAATCTTGTCCTTCAAGCTTTTTTTTTTTCCCCTCTGAGGCAACTAATTATAATACATAATAGCACCCAGGTTGCTCAAACCCAGATTCAAAGAACAGAATACATTTCTGATCTATTAAGTCTTGTCCTGTTTGTTCATTCAAAACTCATTTGACACCTTTTAAATTTTATGATTAAACATGATCTTAATATACTAAACCTTTAAAAACTATTTTAATCCATTGTTGACTTTATCCCCTAAATTTCTATTCTGAATGCGTGACTTAAGACCTTCCGTTTTAATGACAGAAGGATGTGTTCTGTCATTAAAATATAAAAATAATGATAATTTCCACTGGTTAAATGGGTAATTTCCACCCAGATCAACTAAAAATATCAGGGGAATAACTGTATCATGGTTTCCTATTATCTGAATCAAACATAAAAGGCGAGAAATGTTAACATAAATCCTAAATAAATTATAATTCAAATTAAACACAATTAGGAAACATTACCAGAGTCCAACATACACAGTTCTGGTAAAATTTTAAAGAGCATGTTTTTAGGGAAACACACCTGGGATTGAAATTCCTCTCCTCTCATAACTAAGTGTGGAATAAACCGAACGTGACCAACGTGACCAAGCCTGACCATGGCTACTGGCGAGTGCAGTTTTCTTCCAGAAGGCACATGTCTGGCTGTCCTCGTCTTGCTCACACAAGTCAAACAGCTCCTGGCTGGTTTCCACACCCACTGAAAAGGGGAAGGAACTAGAAACACTCCTCAGTAGTAAGCTAGTGCCACGGCTCTGTGTACACACAGGTTCTAGAGGCTGCCTGACCTGCTGGCCTGGAAAGTTTCTACTACGCAGAAAGGAACACACTGAGAATCCCTGGTCTTTAGAAAGCTGAAGCGCTTCCTCCTTCTCCAAACCCTCAGGAAGGCTTGAGAAACTCAGTCTCTTAAGGCCACTTCGGGTCACAAAAATGCCCACCCAAAGGGGAATTTCCGAAAAAACCACGGGGCCCTAGCTAAGAGGTGTAGATGGGTCAGGGTCTGGGGGAGAAGCGAGGTGGGCGAGGTGGCCAGCGGGCAGGTGTACGCAGCGCTGTCCGAAGCCAGCCACCTACCGTGGGGCCACCTGGCCGGCTCGGCCCCGGGTGACACTTAGCGGACCTAGTGGCAGGGTGGGGTGCTGGGCCCCGCGCCGCTTACAGTAAAGTCGCCAGATGCTCTGTGGTCCCCGCCTCCTGCCCACGGACCACTGGAGAGTCCCGGCGCACCGCCCCGCGGCGCCAGGTGGCTCACTCAAGTCACGCTACGGTATTGCATCATTCCAAAATGGACTCCGGCGGCGGGGACCGCCGCATGGGTACCGGCCGCGCACCGCAGGGCCGCCCTGCCCTCGCCACCCCGGAGGATGCCCCACCCCTGTGTGGGGTCCGCGCTGCCCTCCCTCGAAGCCCCGGGGTCCCATCCAAGGTGACCCGGACCAGGGCGGCTGCCCTAGGTCGGCGGGGCCGGGCACTCACCGAACCGGCGTGCGGCGGGATGTAGGCAGGACCACGGCTGGATGGACGGACACGCAAAGAGAGCCGGAGTGGAGCTGCCGTTAGCTGATGCCGGTGGAAGCGCCCGCCCGCCAGCGAACGCCCGCTCACACCTGCCCGCGTGGACTGAATGGAGCTTGGCGGGCGGTTGCGATTAGGCGCGCAGTTTCATCAGCCGCGCCCGCGCCCGCGCCTGCCCCCGCCCCGCCCCCGCCTCTGGGCCTGGCAACAATTGGCGTCACAGCGAGACTGACCAATGGGGGCGGGCGTGGGGCGGGGCGACAGCTGGTCGCGCGCCAACGCTTCATCCTGGGATTCCCTGTCGGGCGGTGCTCGCGACACGACCCCATCCTCCCGCCCCCCAGCCTCGATCACGGGCCGGGACGAGGTCTGCAGACTGGACCATGCCGAACCCCGACCGGCGGGCCCAGGGAGCTGACACCCGTTGTCCTTTTCCAAAAGTGAAAGATTTGAGAGGCACTTAAAGGGCTTTTAAAAAATTATAACACATCATTTCTTTGTCATTGGATTATTTTATTGCTATTCCTTTGCTTTTAACAAGTAACTTTATCTTTGCCCGTTGTCAGGAAGAGCCCCGAAGCCTGCATCTGCCAGTGCGCCCCCCCCCACCCCCCGCCGGTAGGACCAGCACACCAGGTTGGCGGGGCTAGTCAAGGGGCTTACTTCCAGAGTCTGTCCCAGACGTGGCAGAAATTTGAATACCAATCCCACATTGGTCACCTCCCTAGCTCCCTCTTTGTTGTCTCTGTTTTTGGGTTGTTGTTTTTTTTTTTGGGGGGGGGGAGCAAGCAAGAACCACAATCTATAGAGATCCAGTAATGTAACATGGAGATGGAGATGAGCAGGTCATAGATTAATTCTGTCTTCTGACTTTGTAGAAAAACGGAAAAGCGACATGTCGGTGTCCATGGCCTTTGAATCCTTTCCACACCTCCTACCTGCCCAATGTCCTTGGTCAGTAATGGGAGCTCATTGTCAGCCTCCCGGACGCCATACTCTTGCAATTATACTATCAATTTATAAAGCATATAACTAACTGTACAGTGCTAGCTTGGGAAAAGGTTTTAATGAACACATAGAAAGGGGCTAATATTTGTAAAGCACTTTAAACAGTGCTTGGCATCATAAGAAACAACTATCTATGCCTTGTTTTAAAACAATATATTTCAGTTTCAAGTGTACAGATGCTCTCAAGTTACAATTGAGGAGGCCTCCTGTGCTGGGTCTTTTGCTGACTCCCACACAGCCTCCTTCACCTGCTGACACTGCCATCAAAGGATGTCCCCCTTCCCAGGGAGGGAAGCCCCCTGTGACTCAAGGACCATCTGCTTTGCCTTTGGCACCAGGTCTGGATTTAAATCTGAATTCTACCACTTCATTCACTGTGCAGTCTTCTACAAGCTTTTCCACCTCTGTTTTGAATTTATAAACCTTGTATTTTTATCAGACTATCCTTTAGTGTTTGAAATATGATTGTGGGAATTTTTTTTTGTAGAGTTGCTCTATTTGGACAACACAGAGATGGAACATAGAATTAATACTTACAAATTCTGAGAGCAAGTGTTCCAGGCCCTGATGGGAGTGAGGGTAGAACTTAACCAAGAAGATGCTTAGCACTGTGCTCAGTCTGGCAATCCCATCTTCAGAAAGACAATAGGAGACCCTCAATAACAAGGCCCGTATGAAGCAACTTCTTAGCAAAAAGAATTCAGTGCGAACCAAGGGAAAAATAATTATACTCAAGGACTCGGCAAAAAGTTAGGGGGAAAAAATGCTGGCTGAGTGTTTTAAGTAAAGCAAAGGTTAGCCAGGTTAGGATTCACATTGCAGGTCTAGGGGGACCGTGAGTAACAGGCAACCTTGATTAGAGTCAAAGATTCCAAAGACCATTAAGGTAAGGAGATGCTAGAATTTCGGCCCCAGAGAGTACCATCTAAGGTTAAGGTTGGTAGACCAAGGACCCGCCTAGCAACTCAATAACAAACAAACAAACCCAAAAAATCTGATTAAAAAATGGGCAGAACTAAACAGACATTTTTCCAAAGAAGACATCCAAATGGCCAACAGGTACATGAAAATGTGCTCAACATCACTAATCATCAGGGAAGTGCAAATCAAAAACCACAGTGAGATATCACCTCACACTTGTCAGAATGGCTATTGTCAAAAAGACAAGCGATAACAAGTGTTGGCGAGGATGTGGAGAAAAGGGAACTCTTGTGCACTGTTGGTGGGAATGTAAATCAGTGCAGCCACTATGGAAAACAGTATGGAGGTTCCTCAAAAAATTAAAAATAGAACTACCATATGATCCAGCAACCCACTTCTGGGTATTTATCTGAGGAAAACAAAAACTGACTCAAAAAGATAGCTACACCTCCATGTTCACTGCAGTATTACTTACAATAGCCAAGATATGGAAGCAACCTGGTTGCCCAATGATAAACGAATAAAGAAGAAGTGATACATGCAGTTGGCCCTCTGTAGTCGAGGGTTCTGCATCCAAGGACTCAACCAACTGCGGATGGAAAATATCTGAAAACAAAAGTTACATTGTCACTGACATGTACTATGTAGTTAGGCCCATGAGGGCTGTGTCTCTACTGATCATGTACAGGCTTTTTCCTTGTCATTATTCCCTAAACAATACTAGTTGTTACATAGTTTCATAGCATTTACATTGTATTAGGTATTATAAGTAATTTAGAAGTGGCTCAAAGTATAGGGAGGATGTACGTAGGTTATATGTAAATACTACACCATTTATATGAGACTTGAGCATCTGCGGATTTTGTTATCCATAGGGGTCCTGGAACCAACCTCCTGTAGATACAGAGGGATGAAAAACTCGTTAAACACACTCATGTCCATTCATAAAATGGAAGAGAATGTTCAGCAGCTATTAAATATCATGTTTTCAAATAATATGTAATATTGTAGGAAGTACTCAGATTATATTATGAGAATGGGGCATAATATTTTTTCTGCAATATACTTCCAATTTCTATAAGTGTATATATACATACTTGTTCATCTACATATATAAGCATACATTATATGCAAACATGTATACATTATATATTACATAGAATCAGTGGAAACATAAAACTGTTCTCCCTAGGAGTTATATATTTTGTGTGTCCTTACCTCAATTTTCTACATCAAAAATTTACAATAAACTTAATAGATGTTATTAAAAGTCAGAATTATAGCTCCCAAATAACATAAAATTCTACCTCCAGCCCCATCCTCTCCACAAAATCTGTATAACCAAAGAACACCCATGCCTTCACCCTCAATTTCCACTCTCGCTTGGAGTTTGTCAAGAAAGAAGCTCAGGCCTGGCACCTAACAACTACTGACAAGTATTTCAGGCTGCTAGCACCAGGTAACCAGGTAACCAGGGCAAGAGGTCTGAAAAGATGATGATGCCCTGTCTCCCGTAACTATTCAAAATAAAAATATTAAAATCAGTCTGAGGAAGCCCAACAATTTCTGTTTGTTTTTCCATGCTGTCCTGGTTCCCTTTAATGCTTTTTTCTTTCTTTAACATCACATTGTTTGAAATGAAAACCTTTTGGGGCCCCTGTTGAGCTGGAGGCTTGGGCACGGGCTTGGTCTGCCAGACCTGTACCCAGCAGCGATGGTAAGCTCTAATCTGAGCCTTGGCAGGAGTCATGACTGAGAAAAAATTCTTCTTTACTCACCTTCCCAGTTTAAATTTGCTTCAAATTGGAAGGTCAATGGGATACATTTCTTACTGGGTTTCCATTGTGTTTGGAAGTATTTTATGCTCCATGAAAAAGCTTGAAACTAATTTTCCATACCTTTGCTATATATGTTATTTAACATACAAATGCTATATACATTGACATTTAAATTTAGGAAACACATGAAAATATGTTGGAATGTATAGTACTCTATATATGTATGTACCACCAAATTATGTACTCCCAAAATCCATATGTGGAACCCCTAACCCCAGGACCTCAGAGTGTGATTGTATTTGGAGACAGAGCCTTTAAAGAGGTGATTGAATTAAATGAGGCCCTAATTCAATGTGACTAGTATCTTGATGAGAAAAGGAGATTAGGACATACAGAAAGACACCCGGGAAGTGTGATCACAGAAGAAAGTCCATGTGAGGACATGGCAAGAAGTTGGTCATCTACAAGTCGAGAGGAGAGGCCTCAAAAAATACTACTCCTGCCAACACCTTGATCTTGGACTTCCAGCCTCCAGAACTGTGAGAAAAATCTCTGCTGTTTAAGCCCCCCAGTGAGTTGTATTTTGTTATATCAGCCAGAGCAAACTAATATGTGGTAGAAATCATATTTAAAAAGAAGATGGGCTGTCAGAGGTAAAAAAAGATATGAGCTAAGTACCACCAGAGCCAAGCTCTAGCTTTGCAGAAGCAGGGAGGTGCCATGCTGCCAATCAGGGGCAGACCCAGGTCCTGGGACTGCCATGCAGGACTCTCCACCACGTAAGGCTGAGGGCCCCATTTGCTTATTTATCTACTTGCTGCTTTTAAGGTGCTTCCCACAATTGCTCTCCTCTCTCTGGGCTCACATGCCCAAGGTGGAAGACGGGGAAGACTTGGAGGTTCCCAGGTCATCCTTGTCTATCATTTGCGGTTTCGTAGCTCTGCTGCCAACACAAGCTTACTCTGAACTGATAGGAGCACAACGCTATCAGTTTCCGAAGGCTGTCACTTCCCACTGTGAGCAGAGTGGGGCAGTGGAAAACATGAACTTCTGTTATCAGATAGATGTGGGTATGAATCTGAACTCTGTCCCTAATAAATTGTGTGACCTAGGTCAGGCTATTTAACCTCTTAGAGTGCCCTGAAACAAGGACAACAATATCTACCCTTGACTGCTTGTTGTGAGGTTTAAATGAGATACTGTGTGGAAGGAGGGGTCAACAAGCACTAGCTCCCTCCTATCCTGCCTTCCTTCCTCTATCCTCCTACTAATCCTTCCCCTCACCTTCTGGTGGGAAGAAAGGAAATCAGAGAAAGGGGAGGGGGCCCAGGCACTCAGGTTTCTCACTCTCTTCCACTGCCCGGTTTTCACTAAAACACACCTGTCTCGCTCAACCAGGAAGCTCTGCCTGTGGATCTTAGGGTTCGGTGTGGTACCTGGAGACAGCTCAGCAGACCATTATCTTTTGTGGGGCTTAGCTGATTTCTGCAGGGAAATTTTATTTGGCAGAAGTCATCCCTTTTTTGGATTTCTAAAAAGATGTGCCACTTGGGTGGCATGCCAGCTTCAGCCAAGCCTAGAGAGAGTGGTTCCTGTACTCTGGAAATGTTCATTACAGAGAAGCCTTTCTTGCTGCACTACGATAAATATATACATGATCTCAGTTCACCCAAACACCCTGAAAGTTTCTGCTTATACAGGAGTATAATCTGTGTGCAAAGACATTTGGGGCTTCTAAACAGTTTGC